TTTTATTCTCTCCCAGGCCTACATAACCACACACTTTAATTCTTTACTTCACCTTTTTTCCTTAGTGTAATTAATTACACACGTCTATTATTCACAACAATTTATTACTTACACTTAAATTATTATTAAATTATTATTATAATTATTAAATTACTTTTTAATTTTTTTAATATATTTTCCATTTTAACTATACAATTCTGCTTCCAAATTAGAGCGACGCCAATAATGTACTGTCAAATTATTGTAGATGTGCTTTGATGCTTTCCTCTTTATAAGCGACAAGCAATGACGTAACATTAAAAAACAGTATAAAAGACATGAACGGACATGAACGGACATGAACGGACATGAACATGAATAAAACAGAAACAAATGTAACAATCAGTTTTGAATAAATAAGATAATATTCACTTAATATATTCCAAAATTTTCTAAAGGAAAACATTTTTAGAGTTTAAGAAATAATTTCTTAAAACAGTCCAAATTTTTCTAACCAATTTTTGATAAATAAGAAAATTTTCACTTGATACATTCCAAAATAGACTAAAAGAAATTATTTCTTAAATCAAGTAAAATATCACATAATATTCAAAACTTTTAGAAAAAACTTTCTTATATTAAGTGAAAATTTGGTAAATATAAGTAAAAATAGTTCATTTCAAGTGAAAATTTAACTAATTTGAATTTAGCAAAAATTTTTCTTAATAGTAGTGAATTATTTCGCTCCGTGTACGTTGCTAGAAATTAGCGTTACCGACAACGGTACGGTGGTAGGGCGGGAACTAACGTTACCGACAAGGCTACGTTGCTAGGAATCAGTGTTACCGACTGGGTTACACTGGTGGACTAGATATCAACGTTACTATTTAATTTAAGTGTTTCTACTTAATTTATATTTCATGGAGGATTATTGTTTTTCTTTTTAATTTTATTAAACTAATAATAACTTAATGTTATTGATAGTTATTGATAGTAATACCTTAATTTTTAAATAGTTCATAATAACTTATTAATACCTTACCCCAGTAAAATAATTATATGTGCACTACTTGAAATCTATTTTCAACTCCAAGAAATTTTGTTAGGGTGAATTTAGTTAATTATTTGTTTTTATTTTTAGTAGTCTAATTAAAATAATAAAAAAATTTTATTCAAATTTATTTTTTTTAAGAGAAAAATTAACTTTATTTTAAATCTTTATAGAAAATATTTATATGTGTAATTCACATTTTTTGCTAAAAACAATTAAATATTTTATGTGATTTTGTGTTTCCATTATTTATTTTTATTAACTGTATCCTACGTGGCATTGAATCTACCAATTTTTTTAATAGTAGGAGTTCAATTTTGGACCATTGGTCGAGTATGGCCTTTTTCAGCTCTTTAAGAGTGTTGTATTGCTTCGAATAAGCATAAATATTGGCACTAAGAATACCCCAAAGATCATCTATTGGATTTATGTCAGAACTCATGGCCGGACAATCTAGCAATGGGATACTTCTCTCTTCAAAGAATTTCTTCGTAGCACAAGAAACATGTATTAGAGCGTTATCCTGTTGGAAAGTCCAATTATCTCCATGAATATTTTCAGCGAAATTTATCAGTTTGCTATCCAACAAATTTATGTATATTTCGGAATTCATTTTTGATGGTACGAAGCATATAAGTTTTTATTTTAAATACTTTATTTAGTTTTTAAAAAAGATTGGAGCTATTGCTCCGCTTTATTTTGATTCAAGATTAAGACTAAATTTTATTTTACAATATTGTTAATTATATTGGTTTTACAATTAATGCAAGCATTGCATTTTCACCAGTTCTTTGGAAAGAATTGCTTAATTACTATTTACCACTTATTTGGGTTTCCGGCACATTTTGGAAATAAAGTGCTTACCTAATGTCTACCCAATAAAGGTAATAAAAGGAAAAAAGAAAATAAATGTAGCGCGTGTTAACTTATATTATATTAACTTATATTATATTATTATATATTAACTTATATTATATTATATATGTATATTATCACTATATTTCCACAAATATATATTTTTCTTGTCTTTTTAAAAAAAAATTTCACAAATATATTTTCGTATATTTATATGTTCTCACAAAAATGTTTACAGAAACTTTTAAAACATTATTTTTCAATATATAACAAAGTTGATTAAATTTTGATTTTTTTTTTTTTTTTTTAAAAAAAATTAATTAAATTAACTCTTTTTCCTTTTT